CAATTTTAGTTGTTTTCTCAATTAGGAACAGTCGAGGTTTGCGAAATTGAAGTTAGTTGTTGATGATATGAATCAAAACTGCGTAAGTTACGAGGAAAAATTTTAAAATCAGAACTCTTTAGCCAGCTTAAAAATAATATTTAGACTTCGAGTAAAGGGAAAGCGGAAAAATCGTTTAAGGCTGGGATGAATGTCAACAAAACAGCAGATGCTATAAGCAGCTTTGGTCACAGTTAATTTGTCAACTTACAAGAGCCCGCTGTGTGGAGTCAGGATTGGAAAACGCAAGCAGGAAAATCTCACGTACAACGGCGATTGGAGTGCTTGCTTGACATTGTAAGAGAGTGAAAAACCCCAAAGTCTCGTTTTGGCTATAGATAGTTAGTCAAAGTATGATAATTTTAACTAGACAACACTCTCAATATCAACGAATACGTTTCTAGAATGAAAAACAACTTTAATGCTTTATTGAAGATTCTCGAAGAGATTTCAAAGAACTGACCATTTTGCTACAAAATAGTTCTAAGATTGTCCTTCCTGAGGTGGTCTCACGCTAAACCAATTGCAGCCAGAGAAATAGTTCCAAAGTTTACAAATACGGCGTTGCAGCAGAATTGCCATCAAGTTTTTCAAAATAATTTGTCAGCGTACTTGACTCTGCAGATCAAAACACTTCTATTGGTTTTGTCGACGACTCCCTTCTCCACCCAATTTTTGTTCCGCCTGCATCAAACTTTCTTTTGAAATATGCGTTCAACCCACTACACTTTTTCGTCCCTTGATTTCAGTATTTGGTGTTAGCATCGTTCATCGAAGTATTCGTGGACTTTTGCCTTTTTCAATTGTAACATTTAAAACCATGAAACGTACTTTTTTGTTGTTTTCTTCGCATTTTTCCTTTCATTTTTGTTTCTTTATATTGTTCCCTACATCCACCGTTGAGTGGCGTGAAATTTTTAAAAATATTTTTTGTGACACAAGTGACCCAGTACTTTTCACTCTGTTTTGTTGTAAATCTAACGTTAACAACCCTGAACAAACAGCCAGAAACTTTTGTGGAACACTTTACTGATGAAACATGAGTTTACTATGGCCATGACATTCGTTTTTGCTTTATTATGGTCGCATGTTCATTTGCAACTTTTTATGACTTGCTTCATATTTCTGGATTGCTTACCCTTATGTAACTGTCTTTACTGCGCAACAAATTAAGATCAGCAAGCTGAAAAATTTGAAATTTAAATTATAAAAGAACCAATTGAAGGAAACCTTCGAGTGCGGAAAACTAGGGACATAAAAAATAATATTTTGGAAAGAGACGAAGGATTTGTTGGAAATGAGCTGGAGCGTTAACTCATGGTACCAAACATCATACAAACTGTTAGAAGCAGTATGTTTTTCTTTCATAATGCGCAACAGATTTGTTCATATCTACTTCGGCTAGCAAAACCGCATGCATTATCGCAATTAATCAAGCAATACAGAATATACAGCGTGACGGAGCTTCAAAATTCAACTTCATTACACAACCGTTCGTTCGCGTTAACTATAATAATGATTTTTGAGAGAAAAAAAGGATACTGTAAAGAAATTTGATTATAGTACTGTGCTTTAACAACTGTTATATTTTTGCCTTCAGGGTCATGCAGCACTTTTAAAAGAGTGCTGTGAATGAATTTAGTATATATAATAAAGTCATCCTGTCAAAAATCCCGAATATATACCTTTTGGATTTCGCCTCCATTAATGTTCTGCTCACGAAATGTACCGTTGTAAATTGTTAGTAAATCGGCAGGCTGCTTGATGCTTTTTCACTTTGCTCTTCTCTTTTACCTCAGCATTTTTTTTCCAGAAGTAGGTAACGAAATGTGCTACGCAGGGCTGTAGATCTGCTGCAACTTGTCTTCAAGCTGGTTTGCCAGCTGGTATATAAACAACGTTAAGTTTGAGAAGTTGCTTAGATCTTTACGAGACCTCTCTGAAATCTGAGGTCGGGAACCAGTACTTGTAGTTCGTTTAGGCCGCATTAACTGAGTTTTCTTTTTTAACGCAAGAGGATTTTGACAATAACGTTACGAACAAGTTACGAATATAACTGGAAAACTAACATCTTTTCCGTGTGAATATTCTTGAGTTTTTTGATCAGTTGTAAATTTAGAAAATTATGATGTAGTTACTGGAAATACATTGTCTTTGTGAGGTTTTTAAAAGAGGATACTGAACAAACCAAGAACTGTTGTACAGAAATGTAAATGCATAAAACTACATTTTCTTAATTAAGAAAGTGATAACTAGAGCTATATTAGAGAACCATATAGAAGTTTAAATAAAGCGTTTCAAGTTCTCGATGTGTTTCGATAACGGCGTTGCAGTTGTAAAAATGCACACTGCTTATAGCAATTTCTGGTTCAGTTTTGGTAATAACTAAAATGAAATCTCTCAAGTGTCATGTTATGCGGACCTGTATTTAAAAATTATAACTTGTGCGAAATGCGGAGGAACTACCGCTTTTAAGCCAGCACCACTTGTCTACTTTTTGATGTCAAAAAATTACGTTTTCTCTTTTCCTTTCCGAAAATTTATTTTCTTAATATATAGATTTTTTTCTTATTATTTACATAACAATTGAAGAAAAACAAGCATTTTGCTCTTATGGTGGAACGCTTGTGAAAACCCGTACTGTTCAAGGTACCACCTGTTTTTAGGAGTATCTGCTGGAGGTCTAAGTAAAACAGTGGTAGATTTTTTCTGGAAACATGCTTTATGTTTTAGACCTATTAGCGTTCCTAGCAAGAAAATTCACTATTTTAATTCGAAAAAAATTCGCTAAAATGAATGAATCTGAAGTCCAGGACGGTGAAAGATTTGTTGAATCACAGCGGAAGAAGGTAGAGAAGTTGCGTACGTTAATTTCGTTTTCTAATTTTATTATTACACTTTTTCTTGGATCTCTATTTTTTCTAGTTGTTTCTGTCATTTCCTTTAATTACCTGCAGCAGGTAGTTTTCTACTTTTAATATGTGTATTGTTTATACCGACGGTCTGCTGTAGAGTAAAAGATTTTTTTGCAAACAATTGTTTATTTCATTAACCATTAATTTGTAAATGCCAGAATTATAATTTTCAATATTTAAAAAATAAGGTGAGCTTTTTGGCATCTCGACCTTTGCATTAAACTTCAAAAATTGAATTAAACCTGTTGTTGTAGAAAAAACAAGTGAAGAGTTGGTCTACCACCTTATTCTCTAGTACCAAAATGGCGGTTCATCAGACGCTTCTTTTTTTTCTTGCTTTTAAAACACTTTTGCTTGTAATGCTGTTATAACAAGATCAAGAATAGATGAAGCAAAGAGTAATTCAGCAACTAATACTCTTTTCCTGCAATATTTCTTTGATGAAATGTGCAGACATTCAAATAAAAAAGTAATATCAACTTTTCTTTTCTGCTTTAAAGGTAATTACTGTGTTGAGAAAGTAGTATAAGCTAGAATGTAGTAAACGAGTTCTGCTGTAAGCAGCAATTGAGCAGTCAGCGAAGGTTTCGTAACATTATTCAAAAAAGGTGGTCGTGAAATGATAATGGCAAAAATTTTTATTTTGAAATTTTTATTCTTTTCTCTTGCTCATCACTTCTTGTTGAAGGAATTTCGCGAGTTTCAAACATTAAGCCCAATTATTCTTCTAAAAAAACAAAAATTATTGTTGTTTACTTATTTTAGACAATAAAGTAGTCATTTTTACAATTTATTGCAAATTTGGTTTTGTAAATTTTTTCATTTTTATATTATGAAAATAAAAGCTGCTACTGTAGGTCGCGAGTGCTGCAGTCTTCGCCAAGAGGTCTCGGTTTTAGAAGTCAAAGAAAAAGGTAGCTCTTTATTTTGCGTTAGTGCTTTTTGTCAACAACTCCATGGTAAATTTTTAGGTCTTGATAAATACAGTGCAGAAAGTTTGTCTAAAATTACTCTACTTGAAGCTAGGGTTTCTTCTAAAGAGAAAGAACTGAAAAGTTTGGCAGCAGTATGTGCTATGCAGAAGGACAAAATAAGCAGGCAATATTTCTTATTTAACAATAAAATTAACGACACAATAATTGGAAACATTGATGTTAATATACTTATTATTTCTACAGGTAATCTCATTATGAGTGACCACTGGATATTTGCAGTTTTAGCACAGTTGTAACTAAACGTTAATCACGAAAAATAGGCAGTTAGATACGCAAATTACAACTTTATTTTTCTGGATATTATTTATTTTGGGAAAGTTGTCCAGAAAAACAGCATAAGGGTATTTGGTGTTGCAAAGTAAACCATTTGAAGTGGTCTTAAACGCAAATTTTTTGGAAGATTATAAAATTTATATTCAAGACTGATGCAGCACACGCAGATGGCTTTAATGAGGAAAGCTGAAGCTGAACTTCTTTCTGAACGGGAAGCAGAAAAGGTTTGTAGATCTCTCGAATGCAAGACATAGCTTATTTTCTTAAACTATAAATAAGGAGATTCCGCTAAATACTTATTTTATTTCTATTTGAGATGATCACGAAACGGAAGCAAGCTGATGAAATCTCAGGGAAAATCCGCGAACAAATTCTTAGCGTTATGACTCTGCTCGACAAAGCACCATGGGTAAAATCTCATCAGAAGGTCGGTATTGCGTTGTAAGGCTCTTTTATGTTTTTTGGCAGAATAAACTTCAAATTATTAGATTATATCTTTGGTTTTTCAATTTTGGGTTGCTTCAAGAATCAAAGATCTCAAAAAACAGCTTTCTGAAATGGATACTGTCGCTGAGAACATGGAAGTGGAAATTCGCGAAAAATCAAGCATTGGTTAGTAATTCTAAGGTCACTTTACATTGGGTAATTTACGAGTAGACTGCATATTTTTTTATTTACTTATATTCATTGTATATATGCAATTTTTTACCGCAGTTAAGCTCAAAGAGTTGTAATCTTGCTAACTGTCGTTGTAATAGCGCTATAAATTTGTTTTTCATACTAAATACTTTGTGTTGCATAGCTGATGCATTAGCAGCTTCAATTAATAGAGTTCTGCTTAATTTTCGCATCTTATTTTATTTTCGACTTTTTTACTCTGATGCTACAGAAGTTTATATGTCACTGTGCAAAAGTCAATATCATTTCTTTCTGAAATGGGCATGAAAAAGCTGTTTTTTTTACTTGACAGTGTTTCTCAAATTTTCGAGTGCCAGCTTTTTTTAATAATATGGGCTTTTGTAAGCGTAAAAGTATAAGGTTGAAAAATGTATCTAAACAGAAGGATATTTGCATAGTTGTTTGATCTGTTGAAGAATTCCATGATGTTACATGATCGTACCATTTTATTTCCAGTAGCAAGTCACGAGAAATTGTCATTCCAAGTATTTTGTAAAACTGCTGCGGTATTATCGTTGAAAATTCGAGATCTTTTATCTGAGTTGGGAAGAGAATTGGTTAAAAATAACCAGGTTGCTTTATTTATACTTTACGTTCTGGAAGTCACTTTTGCTTTTTTTTCTTAATTAACATTTCTTCTGCTTTCGAGACCGGTTTCTGTGCACACGGTAATGGTAACAGCGCAGTGGTTTTAATTTAGAAATACGTGATTTTAGCTTCGAAAAACGTTTTCATCAGATCAACAACAAAGTGCTTCTTCAGAAAATAACCAGACAATTGAGTTTTCTGACTTAAACAGTGCTCAGGAAAGCACGTTTTTGTCGTCTCTTGAAGTAAGTCTTATTGTAAACTTTTTATTTCAAGCTATTACTGTTATTTTAGCAGGCTTTAATTAACCGCTTTCCAAATTTTTTCAACTGAAACAAAAAATTTGTGTGGAAATTTGTTGAAGCTTGCTCCTTCGAAGATGGTTGTGGCAGAAGAATCAGGAGATGCAAACATTGCGATAGAAAAGGACGACATTATTGATAGAAATGTAACTGTTCAGGTAAACATTGTTTTTTGTTACAAGAAAAATACTTCTAAATTATTTTTTCAGGCTATATGCATCTTTTAAATCGAACTTCTAAAATGGTTGAAATTTAAAAACTCTTTTTTCATTTTTATCTCATCTTATCCGACGAATGCGTAGTAGTGGTGTTGCTGTTATGAGCACTGTTACTCAAGAACAAAAAGTGTCAAACATTTGAACCTAGCAGAGATATGCTTTCATTTTCGATTTGGTAATAAAGGTTGTATAAACAATTTAAATTTTTTGTAAAACTGGCCAAAAACTTTTCTGTGGCCCTGTTTTAGTGTTGTCACGAATAATTGTTTTATTACTTCTTTATTTTGCCACATTTAAAAGGACTGTCTAATTGGTATCACCAAGCAACCAGTGGAAGTTTATGAAAAAGTTCACAAAAAATGCTCTCTTACTAAGGCCAACCAGTTTTCAAACGCACTTGACGGGAACGAATCTGTAGAGGTACGTGCAGTATGAACTAAGCTTTCTGAGGTTGTATTTAAAGGGCTGTACTGCTTTAACTATTAGATTCAAATACGTTTTTTTATTTCAGATTTTGTACAACTTTTCTTTTTTGGGGGGGTGGGGGAGAGAAATTGAAAAAGACAATGCAATCTCGGTTTGTTTGCCTTGTTAGTTTCTCTGTTGCCTTCTGAAAGGTAGTCTTAATCCTATCGTTGTTTTCTCTAACTAATCACCAAAAATCTTTTAATTTGCTTACTAATTATTCCTGTCTTTTTGTTCTACTCTTTTTTTTTTGTCAAGGCTGGAAGTGAAGGTGTCGAGATGGATGAAAGTGTAAATTCTGTAATGGACGACTCTAATCCAACACTATCACTTCAGCAAGTGGATGAAGCATCTTTCAACCAGAACAATGATGCTGAAATAAGTGATATACTCGGTGGAGTTGGAAAAAAAGGGTCTTGTAAAGAAGCGTTTAAAGTAAGTAGCATGCTTACAACACTTAAGAGCATGTTTTTACTAGTCTGGGAACAAGCATTTAGGTTCCTCAACCTCCAAAAACCTGTTCGGATATTGGAAAAAGACATTTGAAAAAGAACTCAATTCCAGTAAAAAGTGAGCGTTTAGAACTGTTATTTACTGGTATAATTGTCCGGCAAGCATTACAAGTTAGTAAAGCAGAGTATTAAAAGAAATTTTTTTTTTGTAGCACTAAAATGAATTGTTTTCTGTTTTTTATATCTCGACGAATTTTCTGCTAGTGTTATGGTATCGCTTGGTTCATTGTTTTTGTTCTTATTTCTAATATGAAATCAGTAATTATAGAGCCGGAGAATTTCCTAAATTCTGGGAAGAATGACGAATCACCAGTAACAAATATGTTTTCAAATGTAAGATTCTTTAGAAGTTAAATTTGATAAGATTTTTGCACTTTTATTTACTTGATCAGTGATGCAGCATTGTTTTGACAAATTAGTCTGATAGATATTAGTGGGTAATGCAAGAATATAATAAGCATTCTGAATAAACAACACTTGATTGCTGTTGTTGTAATAATATGGTTTAGAAACAGTATCACAGCAAAGTGTGTAGTTCTTTTTTTATTGCAAAATACCTTTGTTTTTGTGTATCTAAGAGCATACAAGCACACTGTTGCTTTTGCCGTGCGCCACCTTTTGGTAGCAGGCAGAATTTTCTGGTATTCTCATAAATTGAATTTCTTATATAGTGGCAATGTTCCCTGACATAACGTCGGGACTTGTAGTTAGAGTTTAGCGGAAAAAAATGAATCGTAAATGTCGCAAATTTACGTCAGAAATGGTCCCTTGTGGTTTATCGGCACGTATATTTTTAAATCTAAATATGCAAGGTTTCTTCATTTTCCGTTTCTTATTTGGTTAACTTGATGAAAATTTGTCTTAATTCACTTAGTCTCATGTGAGTTTTAATTTTTTTATTTACAACAAATTTTCGCTTGCAAAATTTGGTCTTTGACGGGAAGAAAGAAAACTTGATTTTGAGATATGAGGTTGGCAGATTAGCAAGTACGAATTTTTATTAGTTATTGAGTGCTTTTTACAGTAACTTTCGTGAAATTGATAAAATAGGAGCATTTACATAAGATCATTTTTATGCAGATTTTGATTTTTGTGAAATTTAAGAGGACACATTTTTTTCAGTTCAGACTGAACAACTGATATTGGTTTGAGAAGCTTCAAACTAAATTAGCTGAGAGCGGAGTTCTAAACCTTTGTTAGTAAGCTACGCAAATAAATATCACATTTAGAACCGATATTACTCTTCCAAAAGGTAATAATTCTACAGTAAGAGCATACGGACTTCGATTGTTAAACTTGCTAGATATTTATCTTATGTAGCTGGATTAGCTGTAGTCGCACATTGAGTTGTAAACCTTTTTTTTTGAAGTGTTGGATTTAAAACAGTAGTACACGAGTTTACAGTTTATTATGCTAAGTTTTTTGTTTCAACAACGGGATTTTAATCGGACGCGATTTAATTAATACGTATATATTTTTTCTGGCATGAGACAGAAGTCTAAAATTTCAAGATTTTTGATTTGATATTTAGCGCAAGTTAGCTGTACAGATATATACTGGGTGGTCAATGCAAAATGATTACAATAGCATGATTTAAGCCCAGATGATTTTAGAGTTTTTAAGATTGTTTCTGCAATTTCTAGTCGGTAAAATTATGATAAGGTTTTTTTTAGGTAGATGACGAAAACTCAGATTTTAACATTTCATCTCTCAATCCTAACGTAGCAGAAGAATTTAATCCGTCTACTCTTTTGGGCTTATCTGCTGCAGTACAAGGTATTGTTTTCAATTCTAAGTCTTAAAGATGCCTGATTACACCTACTTTCAAGATATATGGTATTTTAAAATAAACATTTAACAACACATGTAAAAAAGTCATATTTTTTCTACCTTTTCATTTTTGAGCAACTGGCTGTTGTTTTCAAAGTTTTTCGTTATACGCGAATCATTAAAAGGAAAGCAAAACTTTTATGCTTAAATTTAGGGTCAGACGGTAGTCTGGACTTTATGTCTATCTTTAATGGCAGTGGAAATCAAGGGGGTTTTGAAGAAGATAATATTTTTTCTTTTGATTTCAATGTTGCTGGTGACGTCAAGAGGGGCAATGACAGCAAGAAATCACTTAATCAACCTTTTGCATTCTTTTAGTAGCGATGCTGGTGTCGTTTAAATTATGTATTACTTTTTTTAAAAACTAGACTCTGGAATATTTAATTTGCTCATTGCTCTTCTTTATATAAAGTTAATAACTTTTTTAAATTTGATGTTTTTGGTAAATCTTCTCTCTTTTACTATTTATTTCTTCTCCATATTTTATCATCATGCAAAAAATTAAGCATATTTGTCTACTAAAATTAATATAGTAGATACAATATCTTTGTGATTTATTAATGACAATATTCGTGTATGTATAGTGTTATTTTTGTTTCATACTAACGTTTTTATCACAATTCTGAAGTAAAATTGAAAAAGTTTTTAAAAACTAACTTATTTAAATGGCAGTTGTTATGAAATAGAGAATTTGATTAAAAAAATTGTTTGGAGTGTTGTGTACAACGAACAACATATAAAGGTGCAAAAAGGTTTATTTGAAAACATTAGTAATGTAGTAATTTACAACTGCAGTTCTTTCTCCAGGACAAATTGATATATCTTTATGGTGTTCATATTTTATACTGTTCTTTAATACTTATTCTGTTCACCAATGAGCACAACAAGCTCTTATGCGCTACCGCTTTCTACCGCATTTCTATGCTAGCTGTTGCATTATTTGCCAGTATCGTAGCTTTTTAACTTTTAACATCAAAGAAAGGTAATTCTAGTTGCAGTGTGGTCTCAATGCAAGAAGTTTTTTTTACAGCATTTCTTCGTCTGGAGGAAAAAATTATTATAACTTTCATAATTTTAAGCGGGTATTGAGACTGGCTGAGTAACGCAGTTCTTGTACTGAGAGCTTTCAGACCACTATCAGAATAAGGCTGAAACGAAGATTAAAAAAAGTTGGATTAGAATCATTTATTGCAGAAGTTGAAGATTACTATAAAAGTGAATTATTTGGTTCCTGCCGAACTACGCGATGAACTGAAAGTTTTTTGTATCTAAAAAATTAAGCTGAATTTTTAATCAGGACTTCTGTCAAGATGCAATTTGTAAGTCCATAACTAGTTTAGTGATTTACTTGGGACGATTACGCAAGCAGGCAACAAGCTGTTTACTATATACGTTTGTATAATTATCATTTTCGAATTTTTTGACGTATTAATTCCAGACATTAATTGTTTATACACCAACGTTTAGTGCTAAAAACGAACTGTTGCATTAGAAATTTGTTTTTTTTTTTTTAAATTGTCTCATTTTTGAAGTGATGGGAATTTTTTGCCGAAGAATAATTCACAGGCGTTCTTACCACTACTGGTGGTCTTCTTCTGCTACTGCTGCTGCTTAGGATTCTGTTTTTGATGAAAATATTTACCTCGAAATCTTTCAGCTAGAAGTAAGAACCGCTTCAGCAAATTCTTTGCTGCGTTCTAGCAACACGATTTTCGCTTACAAAATATAATAAAATTGTTGTGTCATTACCGCTAAATATCACGGTTATCTCTATATTTTGCGTTGAGGAAGCATATTGTTGCGAAAGAAAAGTGGCTATCATTTAGGAGAGCGGTGAAGTATGTTAGGATCAAAGGTCAAAACGCCTCCAAAATTTCTTAGTTCGATGCAAAAAATGTTAAAAAAAAGAAGATATATTAAGATATTCAGATATTAATGTCTAACCGCTTAATGCCTGAAAATTGTTTTTGCTTAATTATTTATTAAAGCATATTTGGAAAAAAAAAGGTAAAACAAGAATATTTCAGTTATACTGGTCTTGCGAATAAGTATTTGTAAAAAACTTACATGTCGGAAATGATATTAAAAAAGAATAAACTGCTACAGCTGCCACGGTAATTTCACAGGCTAACTACTTCGGCTATATCTTTTTTTTCATTTCTTTAGCTTGCTTAGATTTCCAAAAAATCTCAAATCACAATTGCAGTGTGATTTAATACCTAAAACAAAAGAAGCTGTTATTGTGAAATCTACGAATGAATTTTTAGCTTCGGCTCTTTTCAAACATTTACACCTTTTCAAAGTTTTAAGCCTAAAAACTAGTTGCTCAGTTGTTATTCAGTATTCATGCTTGATCAACTGCATTCTTGAATTATCCGATTAGTTTACCTAAAAAAAAATTAAATTTTGGCAATTTTCTATCTAAAGCACTACAAGAAGCCAACTACTAAAATATTGAACTCACCGTTTTTACAAAAAACAGTCTTTCCTTGCGACGAAAGTGACGAATGAATTAGAGTACCAAAGGCATTTTTTTTAAAGTAAACTGGAACGAGAGAACCAGAAAAAAAGTTATTTATCAAATTTGATTTTCTCTTATTAGTGAAGCTGTTGTTGCAAAATTGAATAGGCTAAAAACTTAAGAGTTTTGAAATTTGGTCGCTTAGCCATAATTGTTATTGTTTTAGTGCAGGTATTCTACGAAAAATTTATTGCTAAGATCTTTGCAAATTAGTTTCCAAAAAATCTTAAATGTCTACGAGGCTCAATTATCTCAAGATAAAAAAGTTGTAAATGTCCTCCGCACAACAAAAAAAAAATTTGATTGAAACTATTCGTCATTTTACTCTCAACTCTGCGGAAAAGTTTCACTGGCAACAAATTAAGTTTGAGAAAGTTAATAAAAGGCAAAGTTCAAAAAAAAAAAAAAAACTGAGGTTTTTTTCTACTTAAATTTTAGTGTTTTTAGCAAAAAAAAATCACTGTTGATATCTAAACTCTTCATTTTGCTGACCTTTTGTTGATCAATTAATCTTTTCAACGCATTTCAATTTTACAATAGATTTTTGCTGAATCGCAAAGAATAATATTAGCATCGTATACAACAAAATGCTTTGTTGACAGATAAGAATAATTTTTTCATAACTTTTTCTTTACAGGTGTACTTTTCTATGCCGGGAATGTTTACTAAATTAGCTTTAAGACAAAAAAGAAAGTAGGAAGAAAATTATAAAGAATAGCCAAAAAGCACAAAAAGTGGTTAGAAAATAAGAACACATTTTTACCGTTCTTTTTGCCCTTCCAGAATTCAATACAGCATTTTTAAAATTAAGAGCAGTATTTTTAAGATAATTACGAATTACTTTCTGTTAGTGTGACAGTGAAATATTAACCTAAGCTTACGTAAAACCAAATTTCTTGAGAAAAATTTTTTGATGATTTCATTTGAAAGAGTTTTTTCTTTTTTAATTAATTAAAATAATTTGAAAACTGCATCATCTCTTCTGTTTCTTTATTGAAATTCTACTATTTCTATCTTTTGCTTTTTTTAGGAACTATACCAATGTTTGTTTTCATAGTTAGCGGAACCTTTGGCTTTTTTTTTGGTCAATTTTAAAAGTGGGTAAACAGAGCTGCCTTGGTTTTGAATTTTTTCTTTTTTTTTTCTATTATTGCTCTTGATAACTGTCTGCAGTTAATTTCTAAAATATTGAAATATTATAAGAGAAGTTTGATGACGCAGAATTCGTCAACTGCAATCACAAGTAGAGCTTTTAATTTTAATGCTTAATGTCGTCTGTTCTTATATCACTGTTTCCTTATTTGCAAAATTTTATAGTCACATAAAAAATAACTAATTGCTTTAACTAATCCTGCTAAAGAGTATTTAAGATTGAAAAAAAGTGTTGTTAACTTAAACTTAGAAAGTTGATTAGACTCTGAAAAATCGTATGCGTAACTTGTCTAACAATAAGTTGATCCCAAATATTTGTTTTTTGCTGTGCTTTTGCAACGAAATAATCAGTGTTAATGACAACTGGTTAGTGTTTAAAGACATTTTGGAGTTCTTATTTTTAATATTTCTTCTGTATTTTCCTATGAACTATGTTGTTTGGGTGAGGAAAATTCAGTAACTAAATCTTATATTTCTTGGACTGCAAAAATAAAAAAC